AGCGGTAGGAAGGGAAAAGCATGATCCAGAAAATGATGTATGAAAAAGAATTGTAATTAAAGAAGTGAAAAAGATGAAGTAGTGACAGGTTTAGCCTGTCTGTGTGCTTCACTGGACTTGATTTCTCACTCTATTCTAAGTGCTCAAGTGTGTACTGTCTAGTTCTGACATTGCCTCTGATATTGCTTTGTTGACTGATGTCTATTTGTCTGTGTTTGGCTGTGGTTTTCTGTTTCTTTATGGAGTCCCCACACTTTGTTTTTTTGAAAACATTTTGGGGAATGTTAATAATCATTTTCCACACAAACAGTATTTCACTGCATGCTAATTGTTTGCTCCCTTTTGTGCAGGGAACCCCAGGATTGCCTGGCCCCCCAGGACCAATGGGACCACCAGGAGACAGAGTAAGTTTTGGGTCACACATATGTATTAATTACAGAATCCCCATAGTCCTGTTTGCACAGTTGAAGATGTGGCGTTCACATATCTTGTGGAAGGCTTCAAAATGGTTGTCATCGGACCATCCAACATCAGAAGCATCCTGAGTTCCCTTAACAAATCGATGGGACTTTGGGGGAAGTGTTTGAAATTTTAAAAGTTGTATTAGATTCAGGTCCCAACAAATCGTTTTTAACTGATTAGAAAAACAGCCAAGAGACTTAGGGATTGCTTTAGATCCTAAAATTAAAATCTTCATCATGAGACAGATTTTATGTAAGTTGGAGAGTAGCCTTAACTTTCATGGAATTTTCCTTTTAGTTCTGAGGAACTCCCCACACCTTTAGAAGACAAGTGCCACTTCTGAGCTTGATGTTCATGCAAAGAGCTGGTATTTAGTAGGGACTTTCTCTGTGGCAGCATTCAAATTTGCCCCTGGCTTGGGGTAATAACAAGGTAGGAAAGCTGTTCCGATCTGGAACAGGTTAATTGGCAACCTAGTGAACCTGACATTTATGCTTCATTCACCAATGCCACGGAAACATTTGTTTCAATAAGAGACCAAGCATGCTTTAGTAAGAGGAATTTAGAGATGCTACAATTGCTCAAAGCCCACAAATCTTCCAGCCCTTCAGCATTTTATGGTTTAAACAACAGCGTGAGGGTTGTCTGCACTCTATCAGTCAGGCTAAACTGCGACCATCAGCTTCTCTGGAAGAGTTAGTGCTGTACCTGCTGTCAGTAACCATGTGATTTGCAAACCTTAACATCTGTAAGCAATTGCTGGTGAGGAGGTGTCACTCAGTGGGAGCAATGGTTCACCAAGATAACTCAAAATAGTGAGTGATGTGATCCCGAGCTCTGTTTCCATGCTTCTGTTTACATTTGGAAGAAAAAGACACATCAAAGAGCAAGCCCTAGACCCTGATAAGGAATTTGGAGTCTGTATTGACGCACATGTTCTTCAGCTTCTTTTGAGACTGGCACTTTGGGCAGTATTGTAAAAGCTTTATTTTCTAATGAGAACAATAGTGAGAATACAAAGGTAACATCTTAGCCTTTCCAAAACAACAACAACAACAAACTGAATACTACGGCCACTGAGAATGGGACAGTGGGCTGAACTGCTGCTGAGGGCTGGCTGTACATATATCGATCCATCCCAGTATTTGCTTCAGAAGGAGGGGGTGTGGTCCTGAGGTTGACTTCCCAGGCACAGTCAATCAGGCACCACTACTGCCATCCCTGCACCCAGAAAGATGGGGGTTGGGAGGACTTGCGTATTTCCTCTCTGAAACGCTAATTCGTTTCCACCATTGTGGCTAGTCTATTCTAGTCTCCCGGAATGAAACCGAGGGAAAGTTTTAAGAACTCATTCCCTCCTTCCACAGCGCCATCCACCTGCCTATTGCTTAAGAGGCCTGCCTCTGAGGCTAAGAGGAGGCACACAGAGGGAAAAGGACATAAGTACTTTTAGACAGTGTGAGAGGCTGTGGGTATGGGGATCTTGGTCGACAAAAGAAAGAAAGTATCAGGAACTCAGAGATGGAAGTAGGAGGAACGTGAAGCCAAGGATTAAGGTTTTTCAGGCGCAGCAGGGCATGTGACTGTCTTGGATAATTCTGAAAGGAAAAACAACAGAAGAACTCCAGGTACTTGCATCTAATAAACATATTTATATAAAAAAATGATCGTTAGTCTCTTCTAACACCATTACATGGATGAACAAAACAGCTGCCAGCTTGCAACAAGAAGGAAAACTAAAAGCTGAAGCACGGTAGTCTGCTTTCACCCCCCCCCTTCAAGGACTATTGGACTAAATCCTCCTCATCCAAAATTTAGATGTGTTCCTTCAAAGTCCCAAGCATGACTAGATTATAAAAATATGATACTTACTAAAAAAAAAAAAAGAAAAACAACGAGAAGAGGAGAACTAGGTGGCAGTTGGATATGTTTAGATGGAAGAAATGCCATTCCAACAGTCTCAGCAAAGCTACTGGAACATTTTTGTTTCTTAAGTGGCTCTCAGAAGTAATGTTGGTTTTGTATCAGATGGACTCAGAGTCTGGGTTGTGTTAAGCAGGCCTAGCTACTTCAGAAAGCAGCCTGAAAGTTCATCACTTTAAGTTTCTGAAAAGATTTTTTTTTGGAGGAGGAGATGGGATATAAGTATTTTCAAAACCCCTTTAAATGAAACTCTTTAAGTTTCTGCTGTTGTGAAGTCAGTAGACTAAGAAATATAGACACTGAATGATTACAGACAAAATAATAATTTTTTTCACATTTATTTTCAAAACAAGGCTGGCCAGAAACTCGCAGCAATCCTCCTGTCTCAGCCTCCCAAATGCTGGAATTACAGGCATGAAGCTACCATGCCTGGTAGTGATCATGCTTATTCTCTGCAGAAAATGGGACAAAAATCATTTCTGACAGAGGAATGCAGCAAACATAAACAGCAAACTGACTCAAAAGTCCTCGGCTGGCTTTCAGGGATCTGCTCTTGGGAATGAAAGCTGACTAGGTAGCAGGGTGACTCATTCCAGGCAGGTCATTTGGCACTGAACAGAGAGGACGAGCTCATCAGTGTGGACAAGAGAGCCAAAGGCAGCCCCACAGGGAGGTGCACCCTGCCCTTTCCTTGATGCTCACACTGACACAGCTTGGCTATGCTGGTGAATGGAGAGAGTTTAACGCTGGCTGTAAGGATGGGAAAACTTTCTTTGCTTCTAGGGTGTAGGGCAGTTAATACAGTGTTGCCCCTTTCAGAGAGCAGCTGTTTAGAAGACAGAGTCAATCTCCCTTTGCCCTTCTTTACACTCTTACAGAAGTCAAAACCAGAATGTGCCTTCCTAGAAACAGATTAGTTTGGCATTTAAAATGGTTTCATTTGTAACTACACAAATGAATGAGCATAGGAACTAATTATTCAGTAAAAGTGTAATGTTTCGAAATTAGTTGTTTTGACAGGTTGGTCTTCATGTTGAAAGTGTACCTACCAAACACCAAATTTACTCAATCCTTATTATCACCCTTTTGCCCCTACTGTTATATTTATCATCGTTTCACTTGTTCATGTCCATTTCCTTCCTAATCTGTGACTATGATTTCATTCTTGCACAGGGTTTCACTGGCAAAGATGGTGCAATGGGACCTAGAGGGCCACCAGGGCCACCGGTAAGAGCCGAGTGGGTTACATTGTCTCCACCTGGTCTCCAATCTCCTTTTCATTTGCTCCCATTTTGCTAGTAAGAAACCTGATTTGAGTTACCCTCCATCTGTGCTGTGGGGTGTATTGTTATATGAGCTGTTTGGTTTTGTTTTTATAAATCAAAATGCGCTAGAGAAAACATGTGTCAAAATACAGATGCTGAACCGAGTTATGTTTGAGAAATATCTCAGACTGTCTTGGCCACTAGCTGGTTAGTCTCATGATTTTCCTCTTTATTGAGTGATTATGTTCAGGACCTCAGTGGTTCCCTCCTGAATCTAGAGTTTGTAACATTTACATGTTAAGGACTTTATTAATGAGCAATCATCAATCATTCTGGGGAAGTAGATTTTATCTGCAACTTAAACAAAGGGTCTTCTTATGATTTGTGAAGAAGATACTGAAGATAGGAGATTCTGAAATTTCTTAGATTAGACCTACCCCCAGTGGCTGTGCCCCTGTCTTTATGGCAGGATTCGGAGATTCCAGAACATATGCTTAAACAATTCTATTATTTATATTTTATACATGTTTTTAGGTTTAAATATTAAACCTAAGTATTTACTGCAGAGCTCATCTTTTTGCATAAATTGAAAGAGAACTATTTTATAAAATGTTATTCCATTTAACAGAAATGGTAGGCTTTAGAATACCATTATATTATAAATAGATATATGGCAGAAATGCTTGAAAGTTGACTTAAAAGCAACAGGGAGAAATTCTTGTGGTTTCGCTGGGGTGCAGAGTGCTGATGGGATGGAGAGACTTGGAGTCTGGTGAATGTCCCTGAGGAAGAAGTGATTTTAGACTCCTTTATAGACTCCAGAAGTGTGGCCAAACTGTGATAAACCCAGCCACCTTTTTAATTCCCCTCTAGCCAAAGTTTCCAACCCTGTCTTTTGGGGCTTTTAGTTTAGTTTTTTTTGTTTGTTTGTTTCAGAAATAAACTAAAGAAATAGGAGTTTCTTTCTGTAAATATGCTTTTGGGATTGTAGTCTAGAAATTATGTAGCTGGTTATACGTGTGCACGTATTTTTCCATTGCTCTCAGACTGAGATTCTTTTCCATTGGTCTCAGACTGAGATTCCCAGACCCCCCCACCCCACGTTACTTCAAAATGTGACTGTCCTCTTCTTTATCGTGTAATGATATTCTGCTTCTTTTACAAGTTTTTAAACCTGGCTGCAGATCTTTAATTACTGTGGCTAGGATTTTGCCCTCGTCATAACCTTCCCTTTCTTGGTCTGTGACTGTAGGGAACCCCAGGCTCTCCAGGAGTCACAGGGCCAAGTGGGAAACCAGGAAAACCTGGAGACCACGGCAGACCAGTAAGTAGATGCCTTGCATGTCTACTGACTTCCATTCTCTTGTGGACAAAGATAATGAGAACTCCAAGGCTTGTTCATAGTTAGGTTATCTCAGTCATAAACGTGTTTGGAGCCTGTGCTGAAACAACGATAAACCCCTGGATATGACTTGGGAATAGTTCTAAAGGCTTTCCACCCCTGCTGGTTTGCTATAATTTCCTGGGATGAAAATTGTGGTCCTTGGGTTTCTTTAAAAGGAGGAAGGGATTACGAGCCAAGACACATATTTCTGCACTGTATAAACACTCAGAGCTTCAGAGCTGGGTCAGCAAAATCATTCTTTTTTATTTATAAATGGTATGCTGTTTAAGACATAAAAATACATGATCAGAGTGCAGGGTGGCTACCTCCTCAGTCTAGGAGTGTTAACCCTTTGGCAGACAGCACCATCCAGCTGCACAACTTGTTTCTTGCTCCATAGCTGATGATGCTAGAGCATCAGACCAGTGTTAAAAAATTTTATTGGGGCCTGAGGAGATGGCTTAGTGGGTAAAAATGCTATCTATGCAAGCGTAAGTATCTAACTTTGAATCTCCAGAACACTTAACAAAAGCTGGACACGTTGTGTGGGTATCTGCTATCCTCATGTTCCCACAGAGAGATGAGAGGAAGAAACGGGAGAACCCCTGGAAGTGTTTGGGCAAGGTGCTGGCATTCACAGTGGAAAAAAAGCAAAGAGACTTGTTTCAAATAATGTGGAAGTTGAGGATGAACACGCAAGGCTGTCCTCAGACCCCAACATGTGTGCAATGGCACACACACACTTACATATGTATACTCAAATGCCCTCAGCACACATGTGCACATGCAAACAGAGTTATTTACTAGGCTGAGTGGTGTAGTGCTTGCCTACAATGTGCAAGGCTGTGGGTTCAACACTTAGTACAAACAAATAAATAAGAAGCCAAACTTAAGTTAGTCATTTTAATTTTTGTAATGCAGTCCTCTCTCAATTTATATCTGATTTAGCTTTGTCTCATTCCTATGTTTAGTTAGAAATAATGCAATAGCATTATACCTATCATGTACTTTCAAATTAGTACCTTCCAGCTGAATTTGGAGTTTCAAAAATACTCACAAATATTTGAAAGTGACTATTGAGCTTCATACTCTTCATGATTAATTTTGCATTAGTTATGAAGCAAGGGTATTGTTAATTTATGCAAGCAGAGGCTCAAAAATTTCCATGGCTTTTACTTGAGATGTGATTGCCAGAAACTGGTAGTAAAGCTGCTTCTACAAGATCATGGACAACATGACAGGGAAACTATTCCCATGAACTCTTAATAATATGATTGTCTAAACAAGACTGCATAATGACAACCCTAGTTGACATGCCAACTTGTATGGGGAGATACCACAAGGCCTCACCCATAGATGGAGAACTAAAGGCAGTTAATATCTGCTGAGAGAGGGGAACTTAGTTTTCTTTAGAGATGAGATCCTGATAAGTTATCTAGTCCCAAGTGGTCATCCCTAAATTAACTCAGTAGGGTGTGTGTGTGTGTGTGTGTGTGTATGTGTGTGTGTGTGTGTGTGTAATAATTGAGAGGGGGATACATGAAAGGAGTTAGTGGGAGCTGGAAGGGTAGTTATGACATACATGTGGTACTCATGTATCAATTTCTCAAAAACTTTAAACAAGTAATATAGAGTAGAAATAAATTGAAAAAGTAAATCAAAAACATTTTGAAAGTGCAAGAGCTAAAAAATAATAACTACAGTTTGCACAAAGCTCAATATTCAATATTAGTATTCCCACAAAAATGTAATACTTTTGTCAATGAGAAAGCCAAGCACAAGTTTTTCTTACAATAATTATAATTCACTATGCATTTATTTGGACCTCATGACTCAAAGCAAAGAAGTAAGACCACCTAATTTTTTTAAAAAAATACTATTCTGGCATCTGTATTGAGAATAGGCTATTAAGAGCAAAAGCAGAAAGTATGGAGGTCAATTAAGAGGATATTGGAATGGTTATACTAAGCCTTGATTTGAACTACAGTGGTTTCCATGGGAGCAGTACAAGTTGGTTTGGCTGGAATAATATCCCAACATCAGATTTGTCAATGACTTGAATGTCCCCTCTGTTGGCAGTTTGAAAAGATACAACTGAAAGATAGGAAGTTCCTGTCCTCAAAGGATCTCTTCTGGACAGGGAGGGGCTTCTGACTATGATAAAGATTATGTGGTTGTTTGGATGTGAGACCAATTAAGAAGGGGGAGCAATTGTTTTCTCTTTTACCCGATGCACAAAGATTAACTGAAGGAAGAATGAACTACATCTTTATCTAGGGAGCTGACAGAAAGCCCACTAGCTCTTACCGGAAGTGAATGGCTGTCACACTTTTTGGTATCTCACAATAAGCAGCTGAGCCAAGCAACCACAGTAACTTAAAGTGTGATAGTTCAAGTGTTCAAGTGAAGTTTGAGTTCAAGTGCAAATATTGAAGTTGATAGCCTATGTGGTGAATGGTAACATGGACTTTGTAATTGTTGGAAAACTCACATCTGAACAAGGCTTTGGAACGCACCTATTTGCTGGGTGATTAGATCACTTTTACAGAAAAGAAAAATTTTAGTGGCATGGTTCTCAGTGTGATGCACCATTTTGTTGGCTCATCGGGCAATAGACTCTGCCCTCTCTGTTGTCATTCCTGTCCATGCATCATTTTAGAGCAGTGGTTCTCAACCTTTCTAATTCTGTGCCATTTTAACACAGTTCCTCATATTGTGGTGATCCCCAACCACAAAATTATTTTCATTGCTGTTTCTTAAAAGTAATTTTGCTACTGTTATGAATCATAATGTAAATATCTGCATTTTCTGATGTTCTTAGGTGACCCCTGTGAAAGGGTCATTTGACTCCCATAGGGGTCGTGAGACACAGATAGAGAACTGCTGTTTTAGACCAAATCTTCCTGTTTCTAAAGTATGAAATTCCTGTGTTTTAGGGTCAATCTGGGTTAAAAGGAGAAAAAGGTGATAGGGTATGTATTTCTTAAAATTTGACTTAATTTTATTTCAAGCATTAAATGTTGACATTGAAATTATAGAAGTAATATTTTAACTTTTTAAAATTTAATTACCCAGGGAGACATTGCTTCTCAGAACATGATGCGAGCAGTTGCAAGACAAGTCTGCGAACAGCTAATAAGTGGTAATTTATTGTTTAGCATTTGAGTCTGTAAACACTAATAAGTGGTAATTTATTGTTTAGCATTTGAGTCTGTAAACAACTACTAAGTGGTAATTTATTGTTTACCATTTGAATGGCTTTGAAAATAATCCTGGGAAAAATACAGAACTTGAGTCACAGAGTTGACTTCAGATGTTTCAAACTCATACAGGCTAGCTGTGAACTCAGGGCTCTCCCTCTGAAGTTTTAGTCAGTGCTTCTCACAGCATAATCCTGAGGAACACATCCCTTAATATTGCCTAATTTGTTGTTAGAAATGAGAGTTCCTTGACCTTGTTCTAAGCCCAGTGAATTATTGTGCCTAGAAATGAGGCCCAGAAATAAATACATTTTTCAATGTACACTCACAAAAGTTCTCATGTGTGCTAAAACCTGGGCGTCATTGCCTTACGTACCTAGAAAAATGACACGATGTCCTAATTTCAAAACGGTTCTCTTTCGAGTGACATCATTCAGCACACTGAAAGGCTGTGTGTCTCAGAGTTTCATCCCACTTTGATAACTCTTATATTCACAGTAAAGCTTATGGTTTTGCGTTGAGCACTTTGTGAAAATGGCCATTGATCAATGGTCATTTTATACTGGGTGGCTGATGTATCTCATTTTTATTGTCGGTACTAATTAGAACACATCCTGGAGAGAAGGAAGAAGGTTGGTTTCCTTAGATGCATAGAGAAAGTTTCACTTCCCAGTCTCGCCCCTCCCTTCCTGGGTTTCTTTCTGACAAGTCTTTCTATTTACAGGTCAAATGAGCAGATTCAATCAGATGCTGAATCAGATTCCAAATGACTACCACTCAAATCGCAACCAACCTGGCCCACCAGGGCCCCCAGGGCCCCCTGGCAGTGCTGGAGCCAGAGGAGAACCAGGGCCTGGGGGGCGACCAGGATTTCCTGGCACACCAGGGATGCAGGGACCCCCTGGTGAACGAGGTGGGTCTTTCTGGCTTTACACAGAAATAACGGAAGAGCCTGCATGTGCCGGAATTGGGGCAGGTTGAAAGCATTCAGAAGGTAGCGTTTGGCACACTTCAGTGTTATTTGGACAGTCCAGACAAGCTGTCTGGGAGCCACCTCTCCCTTTAGTAATTTGCAGGTCACAGGGCTGTACCCTGGTTATAGGGGTGTGAGAAAGCACATGCTGTTTTCAGCAGGTCTCAGTAGAGGCATTTCTATCCATTGGCTTTTCTTGTGGCTCTGGTGGGAAGTATTGTCTTGGCAGAAGTTCTCAGGCCTCACATCTGACTAAGTGTTGTGACTGTGGCAAGAACAGAGCAGCGACCAAGGACATTAAGCTGCCCAATGGTTTAGGTCCAAATTCTTTCTATTCCTTCATTCAAGGCCTGGCACTGGTTCTAGGATATTTGTTTGACTTTAATTTCATGGTAGATAAATGAAATTGAAAGGGGGGGAGAGAAAAATGTTTTCTTTTTTTCTGCTTCCAGATGTTTCAAGACAGTGAACGCCAGTTTAAGAGTTACATAACCTGCTATCTGACAGTGTTAATGCGGTGCACACACAGCTCCTAAAGTCTACCTGAAGGGCCTTCTCTAAGATCTCTGTTTTTAATTACTGTTTGACAATATATTAGGAATATTTGCATCCTTCAAATAATTCCCCTCTGACTTTCAGCCAGATTTGTTTCTTGGCCATGAATCTGGAATTACACAAATGTCTAGAAAGAATTTGGCTTAAGGAGTGAACTTCTGGGAAAAATTAGGTTCTGTTTTCACTACGGAAATGAGTTACTTGAATTATTATTATTTAAGATGAAAAATCATGTTTCCAGATAAAATTTTCCCATGCTTTTCTTTTCTCTTTTTTCTTCTTTTTGTAGGTTTGCCTGGAGAGAAAGGTGAAAGGGGCATTGGTTCTGTAGGACCCCGAGGGCCACCGGGACCTCCAGGTAGGTTTGTTAGGACATCAGATTGGGAAAGCCAATATGGTGGCCTTTAGCAAGAAGTTGGGTTTGGATGTTCCCTTTGTTGAAGAATGTGCTCTGTCAGGTGTTTGTCGCAGCTTCAGTATCTGAAGGCATGACTGTCTGTGACCTAAAGAAGGGTGACTTTCTTTTATAGGGACTTTCTGTGTGGTGTTTGTTGTTGTTGTTTTGTTTTTGTTTGCTTTATACCCTCCAAATACTGTTGTTTTTTCTAGTATTCCTCAATATGGAATTATTGGAGTGTGAAAATGGAAAGACTTGACACAAATTTTCATTTACATTTCCTCATGTTTTAAGGAAACTACAGCTATCCAGTTGTTTTGATGATGTTGAAAATGAATTTTTTCTTTTATTTAAAGATTAAAAAAATCCTGTCTGTCTAAATATGTCTAAATATCGATTTGTCTATCATCTAATTATTTGTGTGTGTATTCCAGGGTGTATGTATTGGTGCTAGAGAACAACTTGAAGGATTTGGTTCTATTTTTCCACCATATGTGTTCTGGGGATTGAATTGTGTTTTTAGGCTTGGCAGCAAGCACTTTTACTTCCCAAGTCATCTTGTTACCCTACACTTATCTTCTCTTTATGAGGTTTCTGGATCTTTGCATCCAAGACCAGCCCTGTGGTTAAATCTTTATATTTACATTAATCATAACTAAGTACCACTTTATCCAGAAAGATGTTACTTGCTTCATATATACTGGAGATGTGGACTAGATACTCACTTGGCTTCCTGATGCAACCATTCCAGGCATCCTTGTCCTGGTGTGAATGGGAGCAAACAAGAGACTTCACAGATAATTTTAGCTTGGCTTAATTCTTGCTAAACCAGTCTTCCTTAAATGAAATTCTACAGTAGAGGATTGCTGACATTATTTCATCACAAGAAAGTTCTTTGGTTCAGACTGGGAATTTCTTACAGACTTGTTTTCTTATCATGCCCTAGTGAATGGTATTTTAATTTCAAGTTAGTGGAGATGTCAGTCACTTGAGTATTGGAGACTGCCTCAGGTGTTTGTTTCATCTTCATACTAGGTCCACAAGGAGAATCCAGAACGGGCCCACCAGGGTCTACAGGTTCAAGAGGCCCCCCTGGTCCTCCTGGTCGTCCTGGAAACTCAGGTATCCGGGGACCCCCAGGTCCTCCTGGATATTGTGATTCATCCCAGTGTGCCAGCATCCCATACAATGGGCAAGGCTATCCAGGTATGTCTTAGCCATCATAAGAACCTCAATTCCTCATAAATAAAGAGCCTTAGGATTGAAGGAAGGCAGAGTTAAGGATTTTGTGGAGATGTCAACTTTTTCCAGTTGTGCATTTTAGTGTGCTACAGTATTGTTGTCTTTGAAAGCACAAAACACCTTCCACTATTAGGATTTAAGTAATCACTTTACCTTGCTACATTTCTGGATTTATTAAACCACATCATAAACCTCTCTGAACCTTTCCTGGGAGTTAAATAAATGCTACCAGTTCATGACTTTTTTTAACCTAAAGGAATAGAGAGATAAACAAAAAATAAATACAGTTATAAAATGCATAAAGTATATATGGAAAATATTTTGGGAATCTAATTTACATGGGATAGCATAGTACAGATAACTGAAATAATTCACCATCTTGCACCAGCCATGGAATTGATGCTTATCAAATATGGAACTTAATACTCTTCTCGGGTTGTTAATGAAATCCTAGTGTTCCCCAGTTGTAGGTAGCAGAAGTCTCTTGTGCCTGACATTGGGGGATGTGAGGTTTGGGAGGTATGTTGGTCTGGTGACTTTTCATTAGTGCATCCTCATGCATCTTGCAAGTTTAAAAAACGATACTGCTATTTGATATGGTATGCTACTAGCAAATAGTGCATGAGTAGTTGAATATCTAAATATCTATATATCTATATATTTATGTGTCTAATTTTATATGATCAAAAATTATAACAAATTCAAATGCATAGCCCCATGTAATGCACTCATAAGATTATAATTTAATTTTTTGTAAAAACAAGTTTAAATTATTACTGCCTCATGGCGTGTGTGAGCTGAAAATATATGGATATATACATATACTTTAACATTTACCTAGATGGATGTGTATATATATATATAGTTTGCATAGTAATTCGACTTTTAAAAACTATCATCTTTGACCTGTTTCAGGTTCCGGCTAACACATTTTCTAAGTCTCCAGTGCTGCTTACAGTTTGAATACATGAAAACCCCGTTTCTGAGATGTTTGCGCACGTGCTTATTAGAAAATGAGTCTGTATGGAAATCTCACCGCAGATATGGTTAACGAACTGGGTCGGCATCACACAGGAGGGTGGAGACTCGATACTAACTCGAATGATACAAAAACAGTGGTGTCAGCCCGATGCTTTTCAGCAGTAATGTAGAAAACCATCTTTTAAAAAGTGCAAACACAGTCGTGAGGAGCCTCGGCTGTGAAGGACATGCCTAATAAGCTACTAACCAGCAGAGATACGCCATGTCCCAAAAGACAATTAACCTGGTCGAAGAGAAATGTCCTATGTAAATAATAAACTAATTGTGGCTTTGTACATGACCTGGATGGGAACCTATCCACTAAAAAGTTTTGTAACAACTCAGCAGTCTGCTTCTGCACCAAAGCCTGCTGGCTGCTTGCTCTCTGCAGTAATAACAGTGAATGGATCTGCTCCCCTCTTGCTTGCCAGCAGTGTGTCTGAGTTCGGTGCATGCGTGAGTTCAGGGCATGTGACTTCTCAGTATTCCTGTGTGTACTCTCATTTTGATTTTCTAACTGCAATTTTTCAAACCTAAGTTAAAAAAAAAAATCACCATTCCTTCCTGTTTGGATGTGGTCACAGGTGTTTCTCACCCATTGGCTGTAACTCTGTCTGTGTGAGACACAGCTACAGGAGACAGTGGACTGTGTATATGTTTACCCTGGTGACAGCTCCTTTCCACCTGAGTTCAGTTTCTAGACACCAGTACTCTTCATGTGCTCAGCTCTCTGAGCTGTTCTTTGACGTGAGGAGTTTGAAGTCATGAACAGTTATTTAGGGATTTGCCAGAAATCCTACCTAAGTGACAGTTGTTTACAGTTCTCGGCCCAATTTCTGATCCTTCCCAGGTTTTGTCCATTGATTGTATTTGCTGCTGGGTCTTTGAAGGTGTGCCCCGCCCACTTTGATTACCAAATTCTCTCCGCACATGTGCACATGGAAATAATTGAACCACTGTAACACATCTATTTATGGTTGTGAGATTAAGACTGGAGTGCCGTCACCTCAGGTGACGACTTAACCTTTGCTGTGCATATGTACCTTCCAAGTCATGCCATAACTGTAATGTTGAATCGGACAGAGCCTTATGTGCCCGAGGGTGGGGCGTACCTGCCTGATCGTGAGCCCTTCATCGTGCCTGTGGAGCCTGAGAGGACAGCAGAATACGAGGAGGACTACGGTGCAGACGAGCCTGAACGGGAGCACCCTGACCACATGCGTTGGCGGCGCGCCCTGCGCCCAGGCCCTGGGCAGTGAACCTGAGACGGCAGGGTCATCGAGGTGGGAGGTGCTGGGATTCTCATTCACAGGTCAGGCAGGGCAGCATACATCTTTTATGTGATGTTTTCTCCGCGTTGCTTCATCCACAAATACTCTTTTCTGACTGTAGGGAACCTTGTTTCTCCAGGCAGCCTAGCTCGCACCAGTCTGTAGACATCCACACCGTTGCTGTTCAAACGCTTGCAACAACACATGCTGTTCACAGAAGCTGCAAGGAGAGAACACGCCCAGGGTGGGCTGTGGCAGCCAAACTTCTAGGTTAAACAGAAAGCCCTGGAAATCAGAGCAGCTATGTATTCGGAAAGAGCCTTAATATTTCCTACTACTAATCTGCGATCCAATCACATCCCATTTCCAGTAATTTCTCTCCTAAAATCAAAATGGAGGGGAGCACCAGCTCACTTCAGTGTTTCCCCCTTTTTCCTTCCTCCTGTTATGCATTAGGGCGCAGAATCTCAAGTTTCTTAACAACCACAGACCTTCTGCCACGTAGCTGAAGTTGTTGTATCAGCTGGATACTGTTCCATATCGCCATAGACGTCCTTGTTTTGACACACTAACATTTATGCCAAATTGCAGATAATTCTGCAGAAATGGAATTGCATGTTTGTGTTGTATATTTAGAATGAACTTTTTTTTGCAGAACATGTTTCTTAGTTATCAAAGCAGTTGGAAATGTCTTCAAGACTATGAACATAGAATTGCTGCTTTTATATTTTAACTGCAGATTGTGAATTTCACTGCCTTATATTATTTATTTCTGAAACAAAAGAGGCATTTTTCAATAAAACTACTGAAAATTTGACACTGCATATTCGTTTTCTTTGAAGGGCCTTGTGGAATGCTCAAGTGGTCGTTACAACAAATAAATTCATATCCTTGGATACGGTTACAAATCTTACTAATACTTTTAAATTATGCTAAATAACTTTAGGTTTTTTTTAATGCTATGGTGAAGTCATTGAAGAGAGTGGTGAGAGCCTTAAAAAATCCGACAGATTCCAAAGGTTTTATTAGGAATGTAGAGGATGTGTGGGCTGGTGGAAAATAATGAGGTATCCTAGGAGACCCCAAACAACCAAATAATCTACAACCCACACGATTTTGTATGCATTTCATTACTTTCTTATACTTTGCCCAATAGCAAATTTAATTGAGAAGAGGAAAATTCCTTAATGGAAAAATTTAATTTAGGTAAACTCTTCTTTTCCACTTAAAAAATGCAATAAAAGCATCGTAAACATCAAAGAAAACGATGTAAATGTCTTTTTTTTTTTTTTAATCAACGTCAATTGAAAATCAAGGGGCAGCGGAAGAGTTTCTCATGGGGCAAAACATGAACTGAATTCTCCTTGGAGTTCAAGATGGAAAAGCATAGATGATTCGTTAATGGATGTCAGTTAAGAGGCCTCAAGTAGATTGGTAACTCGTAGCATTTGTCTCTTGGTCTCAACTTTTCACTCACATTTTAAAGACAAAGGAGAACACAGAGGTTCTCTCAGTTCTGCTCTTTCACTAAGCTGCAGGAAGAACTCAACTTTGCTACTAGTTTCAGAAGAGGACTGAAGCCCCTCCTCTTACTTTGTAGGCAGATGCTTCCTTGCCGCTCCCCCAGTCCCTTAACGCTTATTCTCTAGGTAGGAGCTTTCAAACCTCCAAGATCCGCCAAGGTATAGTTTCTGATTCATTTGTGGTTTGGATGCTCCCAGAGGAGCCCTTGTATTAGAAGTCTGAAGATGGGTCCCCATGTCACTGACTCAGTGGGGTCACAGTCACATGCATTTGAAGCTCAAAGTAACGATTTGCCCAGATGTGGGTTTGTTTCATGATGTTTGTAATGTATTGGTTCACCACTACTTTCTAGTTTGCTCTGGAATCAAGGGCTGGGGCCAAACCACTCCTGAACAAAGAATTAGTAAGGAGTTAGGATATATGCGATTTTTTAATTGAAAATAATTTTTCCATATAATTCTGACACATTCGATTTTTACTTTCATAGCATATTTCATTATTAGCTGTGCATACACCCAGTAAACTTCGAAGAGAAGAGATGATGTAGTCTGGTTGTAAATGGTGACAAAATCCCAGAAAAGTCACATATACAGGTGCGGGTTTATTTATTTTAAACTTTCTTGGACAAGAATGCAGTACAACTCAAAAGACATTCTTAGTAATGTTTCAATATGAGAACGTTGTAACATCCATTGATGTCTACTTCGTATTTGAAGGGGAGGCTCCAACTTCAGGAAAACAGCCTGCGATTTCTATGGCTGCAGGAAATTACTTCTAGTGAGGGCTACAGCAGGAAAACAGCATCCACACAGGCCCCAATTCCCAAACATTTCATGTAGAATATTTTGTATAATAGAATTAACAATTTAACAAGTGTAAAAGTAGGTTGCACATATATTTTCTTAAATATGTGAGCTTTCAAGCATTCATTTAGGTCTCTAAAAATCATGCTCATTACCTCATGTTATTTTCCATACAAATGAAGTCATTGAAATTTCACTAAACATTTACTATCCATTGGACTTCATTAAATACATATGAGCCTTTATCTCTTGTTTTTATTTTAGTTTCTTCATCAATAAAAAGGGTTTGGACTCAACAGTTATAAAGTGATATAAGTGCTTCATGAAAACTAATCACAATTTACAAAGAATTGCTGTGGTTAGCCTGCTGTGTTCAAGGAGATTGTAAACACAAAGCAATACTGACTTCTAGGTTACTTAGGGTTTAATGTGGATATCTGCCCAAGCAAATACTCATTAGCCTTTGCCTTCTTAGATCAGGCTGTTCAAGGCTGGGAACAGAACCGCAGTCCTTTCTTTTTTTCAGAAGGACTTGTACTCCCTGCCTTCAACTCTGATGTCTAGCCCAGTTCCATGTCAATGTTCAATTGTACACTCCTCAGGACAGGCAATCAAATGCTGTGTGTGTGTGTGTGTGTGTGTGTGTGTGTGTGTGTGTGT